ATCAAATAGTATGCATGGAAAATTTGCTGTGCTTTGTATTTCATTTGATGGCTGAACCAACTTTTGACGTGCTCGTCCGGGCAAGTAAGTAACACTCGGGCCTAATTAATAGCAATGTGGTTGTTGTTGTAGTTGTTGTTGTTGCTGCTGCTGTTTTTTTTTTTTTTTCGGGGGGACTGACTTCTCTGGGTCTTTAACGAGCGGCTGTTTGTGGAACCATATGTATTAGTGTATTATATTCGTCGTTTTTGTTGTTGTTTGTTTGCTTTTGTTTCTGTGCTTGTGTGGCGCACGGTTTGCGCGTGGCTGGTTTTTGTTTGCCATTGGCAAAGCAATTGGGTCATCGTTAGGCACACGTGTGGCTCGTTCAATGTTTCGCTTTTTATTTGCTTTGCTTGTCGCCATCATAAATTTTTATCGCCTAGCTGGCAATTCAATTGGCAATACTGCACATTTGCCAAAGCCCATAACGTCTATCGTCTCTCCCATCTATACATACACGTGTATGTGTATGTATGTATGTATTTTTTTATTGATAAGTCCAATTTGTATGTATGGACGTCTCGTTGGCTCTGTTTATCTTTTGATTTCGATATGACGCTTAGGTCACTTTTCGGTAAGCGTCTTGCCCCAAAATTTGACACGTCTCGCAGCTACAGACGTTTGCAATTACAAGGCATTTGTATTGTCTCAGCCACAGTGTGAGCATTATAATTTTATTACTTCTATTCCGGCGGCTCGACTGCTGTTGCTTTGAGATCTCCACACTTTTTTTATTTCCTTGCCTCTTACGGCCTGGAGATAACATGGAAATTATCACTCCACTTCTGTTGTTATTTTATTTTTCTATTTTTTAATTGCACACGCTGAACATTTAAGTTATCCGCAGACAGTGCTAGCTGACGTCAAAGTAGAGGGCAATGTCCATATAAGGCTGCATAGACTGGGGCATAGATTAGCAATGAAAGTAAGCCTTCCATAAATTCAAATACACTTAATATATACAAATCTTTTGAATAGTGAACAAATGAGAAATATAAATACATTTTTGTTTCAATATTTCTAAATTTTCTTCAATAAAGCTGCTAAATTCATGTTTCAATCAAACGTGAAATGCCGCTAATATCTTTTATTACCTTGAATATAGTCTGACTGCAGAAAAATAAAACCCCAAAAATTATAAGAAAAGTCTGGTGAATAGTTTACCTAGTCGAGGCTTTACATCGAAGCGGTTTATATGGCCTTTGTTTGGCCATTTGTACATCAAGTCAGATCGGAATGATAAACATCAAACATAAACTTTTAATGCCCACAGTCCGGCCATAAAATGAGCACCATTCATGTCTGGATATAGAACTCAGACAAACGCACTGAGCGTAAGCAAAACTTTTGTGGGTAAATATGCCATGGAAAGTTTTTTGCATCGTTGTTGCTTTATTTGCTTTAGAAATTCCATTGGCCGAACTATTCGAGATTTTTGTTGGCGGCGTCGCTTGCAAATAAAGATTTGTTTGTTCTTGATGTCTGTGATCAACGGCACGTGCAAAGGTGTTAGATTGAGACGATGAAGCCCATACGTCAGCCGATGGAGCCAGGGTGCTAACGAGCCAGGGACCGTGACATGGTTGGCATCGTTGTGCTTGACCAGATTCTATTGGCATTTACCTAATTACTCAGCATGTGCCACACCCACACACACACACACAAAGTCTGCTTGAGGGGCGGCGTACGTGGCGTATGCGCAATGTGCATTAGCCACAAGAGAAAAAAAAGTAAAGCAGTCGCTTAAGCTAATGAATGTCGAGTTATCACATGCTTAAATATTTAAAAGCAACGTTATTGCGGGAATTGTCCTCGACATTTAAACAAATGAAGCCCATGTGCCATATAAAACGCTTTTCATGGTCTGCGAGCTCACTAAAATGTGCAGAAAGCCAGACGGCTACACGTATGAATGTCTGGCTGCGTGTATGTGCCCTCTATCTGTGTGTGTGTGTGTGTGTGTGTGACAGACCCTGCCCACCCTGAAGCGTAGCAGCGTGAGATGTGCGCCAAATAAACTTCAATATGACAACGCCTTCCAAGCAAGTTCGGCTGTGAGAGTTTTTTGAACTTGGGTTTTGTTTGTTATTTTCTTTCCTCTCTTCTTCTGCTTCTTCTTCTGCTTATTCTCTTCTTTTATTTTAGAGCGTTGACAATCACAATTTCATATGGATTCGGGGCGAGGCAGAGGCCTTTGTTTGTTGGGGCCTCACAAAGTAATTGGCCAGAAACGCCTCAACAATTTGAGCGGCCAATTTCCCGTTTTGTCTCAAGAGTCAATGAGCTGTGGGTCTTTGTTTTCTTTTTATTTAAATGGCTGCCGGGGGGTCGGATAGGGCGGTCGGGTCAGCCAATTCACGACAGCTGCCGTGTTGTGTCCAACAATTATTTGGCTAATTTATGCACACGCAGTGGCAGTTCTCATTATGGCCATTGATTGACACGACCTCCAGCCCCGGCGGCTGTTAAAGCTACAGCTACAGCTACAGCTACAGCCACAGGTGACGGTCTACGCGTGTTTCAAATTGTTTTCAAAACACCTGACTCATGTACACGTAACACACACATTCACACACACACACACACACACACACACACAAACACACAAACACGAACACCGACAGTTATGTATATCTAAGGAAGATAGCGTATGAGTCAAAGTTTTATTATGTTTTGTTTTCTTTTTATATATTTTTCATTATATATTTTTTTTTGCTCTGTTGCTGGCAGCGGCACGTGTTGCTCGTTTTGTGTCCAGTTCAGGGCAGAAACAGGCTAGAATGATCAGACCACTTTGTGAGCGGAATACGCAAGGGGGTTTTATATCATGCGAACCTTTTTGGGTTTTTTTTATTTTTATTATTTATTTTTATGTAAGTGATAGATATATTGTGGAGACATCTGACTTTGGCATGCATTACGAGTGGCAGCGCTTAGCAGTAAAAGCAAATAGCTCTCAGTTATATTTTAGAAAACTAACTACTGTTATTTTAGTTGAAGGGAATATAATATTATATTAATTAGACAGTATGCTGTAGTAGAATACAGATATTGATTATAGTAGTAAAATTATAATAATATATAATATTATATATTTACATGAGTTACTATATAGTTTTGGTGGTTTTAGTAATATTGTAATAATAATATATTAATATTAATATATATTATTACAATATTTATGTATATTAATTCGCATTTTTGGTAAAATATTTGCATATCATTTGTCTATTTTATTTGATTAATATGATAATTATTTAACTATAATATATTATATTTATTAAATATAAAAAGTATAAATATAAATGTATATGTATACTTCCATAAATCTGTACTTCAATCTTAACAATAATATTTATATATAAATATTTTTATCAGTGTATTTAATCATCGACTGCTGGGCATCTATTCTGTCTTCCCCTCTCTTTCTTTCTCTCTCTCTCTCTCTCTCTCTCTCTCTCTCTCTCTCTCTCTCTCTCTCTCTCTGTCTTTTTCACATGTCCGTTTCATTTGCTTATGGCTTGTGAAAATATGACTCGAATTTGGGCAAAAATGTCTTTTGGCCTGGCTGACAGAATGGCTTGCTGGCTGACTGGTTGGATGGCTGGACCACCCGGCCAACCCCTTGGAAATGGCGGCGCGTGCACGTCAAATATGCCATTGGGGCTATTCGTTGAGCTTGGTATACGTTACGCTTCACGGTTTTTGTTACATTTAATGCGGGACTCTGGCTGAGATGCTGGCTCACCCAAAAGCCAGACAGACAGCCAGCCAGACGTCTTTCACCGGATGTTTGAAGGGCCAAGAGACATAAATACTAAATTTGTATTTTGAGCTATGCATATTGGCACATCGACATGAATTCTGTTTGGCTTTGCGAAATCCGCTTAGTCGATGCCGTGCCACGGCCTCGCATAAGTATTCCAAATGAAAATGGCTCTTGATGGTCGCGTTGCCGCACACTTTTCAAATGTAATTACACTCAAGAGATACACGTGCCGGCAATAAGATCTTTGTTGTTGCTATTGTTCCTCTTCCTCTTCCTACTGTTGTTGTTTGTTGTGGGCTTTTCAATTTGAATTCGGCTGCCTGAGGCCCATCGGGCTGACAGCACAACAATCCCAAAGCCACAACAACAACAACAGCAGCAATAACAGAAATTTGCATGCGCGCCAAAATGTTGCCTATCAATATAGTATATATATACACGGTCTATTTTAACGTTTCCTTAGCTCGTAATAGCGTCTGAGACGACGGCTAAAACGTTTTCTTGCCCAAGTTTGTTTACCTATTGTGAAATTGGATCGCGACTACTGGCCATGGCCAAGGCTTGTGCGCGGATTTTTGGAGCATGGCTAATGAGTTTTAGCCAGCAGATACTTTAATGTAAACGCCATTATTATAGTTGCTGTTGTTGTTGGTGGTGTTGTTGATGCCCTGTTGCCAGGGCTTCGCGTGACAGCTTCAGCTACAGCTGAGTCCGGCTCCAGTTGCGGAAATTCAGAGCACCGTCTGTTTATCAGGCAGAATGACTAATGTACTGCAAATTTCGAGAGATTAAGGGCTGAATAGCACAATAATAATATTTAAGATGCTTAAGAGAGGGCCGCAAACAATGCCACAAGGAATAATTTATAGACTAAAGAAGGCAAGTTAAGAGCGTTCGCTGTCTGGTTGGAAATCACAATATCTCATCAGTTGATTCACTTTTGGCACATGTCAAATCTAATTAAATTTTATCCCAATTCCCCCACAAAAAAAGTTAATTGTTTAATTATATACAAATGAAAAAAAAAAGTTGATTGAACTCGTGGCGGCTATAAAATTGTATTTTTTGCTGTTCGCATTACGTGGGCTTGACGCTTGGGCTGCAAGTCAATCAATCAATTATTCAATTTGATGGCCAATTAATTTTGCATTATTCGTTTTCTCTCCCCCTCTCCTTCTGTTGTTTGCAGTTCGAATGGCGCCTACCGTCTGCTCGGAGAAGAAAGTGCGCTTGGCGGCCATCAAGGAGGGGCGACGGCGGAACAATATGAGCGCGGCGCAGGCGAATGCTTCCACGTCGGCGGCTGGGACTGGAGCTGAGATGACAGCGAGCAGAGCTGAGCTAAGCTACGGTGAGTAAAACTCTGGACAGCCGCACATGGCGTATACGTAACACGAACTGAACTTTGCTTCTGCTTATACCTCAAATTACCCTTTACGTTTTACGTTTTACGTTTTGCGTTGTCATTGTTGTTGTTGCCTTTTAAATTATGGCGTCCATTTACAGCGTGTTGTTGTTGCCGCTGCTCACGTTTCGCGAGCTTGTTTAATTAATTTATGTAAACTTGGCCGAGCAGCACTCCTGTTGGCCATCTTCGGTTGCAGTTCATCGGAATAACAAACACCATGCAGAGCACGTGTGTCGACGTTGTGTACGCTTCACGTGCTCCCAGCTTCATGTTGCGGCCGGTGTTGGTGCTGGTGTTTGGTTTGCCTTGGCTCGTGCCCCAGTTATGGCAGCAATTTGCGTCAGCAATGCAACATCCAGCATCCAGCATCGAGCATCGTTCTCTGAGGTCTGTTTGCATGCCACATTTATATAAGAGCTCCTTGGGCACATGACTAGATAGCGAATAAAAGGCAATTGTCGTCGACTGCAACAAATGCTGGAAAATTCCTTGAAATTTACGATGCTACAACGACGCAGTCAGCTCGGAGAAGAGAGCCATGATGATGCTAAAAATATAGCCAGACGCAATAGAAGCCACGGAGCGCATTAAATGAACTGGGTTAAGTGGAACAATGAAAATCCTTTTAATGTACCGGAAAGTTCAGAGAAAGTTAGAGAGAGAGGGGGAACGAGAGATGGAGAGGCAGAGGGATATAGGTAATGAGAAGGAAGGGACTTGCAGAGTAAACACAAAGAGAGGGAGAATGGAAGCATAATAAGAGCGATATAAAGAGTTTACGATTATAAGAGGTACAAAGAGAGATAAAATTAATGTGTAAAGAGAAAAACGAGATATAAACAGAGAGAGAAAAAGAATGAAACAACGGAAAAACAGAGAGAAATAGATAGAGATAAAGAGATCAAACAAGGGAAATAAAGATAGTGATATCAAGAGAAATGCAGAGGAGAAATGGAGAGGATAGATAGAGAGAGAGAAAGAGAGATTAAGCAAAGATAAAGGTGGAGAGTGAGGTCGAAGGTAGTAGAACTGTAGAGTGAAACAGAGAAACGGGGAAGATAGAGAGAGAGAGAGAGAGAGAGAGAGAGAGTGAAATATGGTAAAAGAGAGATAGATAAAGAAGGAAGAGGAAGAAGTGCGCCATGAGTTGAGAGATCTTGTGCAAAATAAGTAGAAATATAGAAGAATAACGACAGAGGATAAATCAAACATACATATGTCTAAATCATGAAAACTTTATAGACGATACGATATAGCATAAGTTGTTCGAGGGCATTATAAAGCAATCTGAGAACTAAGAACCCTACAAAGCTTAGGCTCATCATAAGTGCGAAATGATGATTGAGACTAAATAGATATACCCAATAGTCTGTGTGGAAATATGCAAAGCAAACTTAGTTCGAATTAGGGCACACATCGATCAACGCATCGTTGATGTACTGTTCATATTGTGTTCCCAGCAGGGCTCAATCATTCATCATAATGTGACACTAATTGACCAAAAGCTCTTGCACTGCTCATATGTATGTACATATATTCCCGAAATGGTAAATGCGATAAAGAGCAACACAAACATTTTTGGTAGCTGCACAGGCAAGCGTCTTGAATGAGCTCAATAGCAGAATCTAGCATAAATATTGTATAAGCATTTTATTTTCACAAGAAATATTTCCTAAACACGGGTCTTCTCTGTGAGTGTGTGCGTATGTGTGTGTGTGTGTGTATGAGTGTGTGAGTGAGTGTCGTAACCTTTATTTTGTTGCCATTTGGCGTGGCACGTTTTCTGTTGCCCTTTCATTTACTGCTGTTGTTGTTGTTGTTACTGTTATAGCAGTTGTTGTTGTTGTTGCTGTTGCCACAACTGTGCTACTTTTGCTAGCTTATTTACAATTTTCCCACATTTGTTTGGCTGCTTTTAGCTTTTGCCGACTTGGCTTTTTATAGCCGCGTTTGTTGTTGCAGCGTTTATTGGTGCCATATTCAGCGCAATTATTCCAAATGATTTTCTTTTTTTTTTCGTATACCCAGCTGTTACATAAATGCGAATGGGGTATATACGCACCTTTGCTGTAAAGCTTGCTTAACTACCTTGCTCTAAGTGTATCTCTATCGTGGTTTAATGGGCATCTCGCAGTCGCGTGGAGGATTTTATCATATGAACCTGGCTCATAATGAGGAGTTTTCTTTCATGTGTCATATTACTTATTAGACTCTCGTTTGTTCCAAGTCTATTTCTATCTTTCAATGAGCATGTCGCAGTCGCTTTTGTTTATAGAGCTTTTTGTTTGCTTTATTTGTTATTATTATTATTTGTTGTTGTTGTTTTTTGCTTTGTGTTTCCTGCTAATTTCCAGCAACACGTTAAAATGTTGAATACTAAATGGGTGTGACGAAGCCACGTGCAGGCGTCTATGATGCCCTGGACCCCCGCATGCCCCTCGCCAGTGTCAACGTAACAGCTTGGCTAACGACAGTGGGTCGCATATGTCTAATATTATTTGCAAATATCAAGAATTGAGTTGCTCTGATTTCTAATTAAATTCAGTCTCACCTTGATTTGCATTTGATTACCCTTAATGAGTGCAATTCGCTCTCCGGTCGTAGCTCTGGAATTCATGTAATGCCTCGACAGATAATCATGAGTACTTGATAAGGTATGTCGTAGATTTGTTGATGGGATGTACATAGAGATAAATCAGTTTGCAAATATAACTTTTCTTGTTTGTATGATAAACAAAAGAAAATATTTTGTGCTTGAAGTCTGCTACAAAGACATAAAACGAAGCATATTTGTTTAAATCGCAAAAAAGAAAAGAAAATAAAAATAGAAATAAACAACAAATTAGTAATATATTGGAAAAATATAAAAATTATTTACAATCTTCTATGGAATTTAACTTGATTTTTTTCTACATAATTTAAATATATTTTCATTTTTTATTATTAAAAAAAGTTGATTTAAAGATTTATTTATTTTTTTTTTTTATTAATTCTTTAAAATAAATAAAAGAATTATTCAGGCATAAAATTAATTTAAAAGGAAAAAAATTTCTTTCTTATTTTTTATTTTTTTTTTTATTTATTTATTATTTAAAATAAATTCAAGAATTATTCTGGCATAAAAATAATTTTTGATTTTTTTTGTATTATTAAATTTTTTTAAAAAAATAAGTAAAAGAATTATTCAGGTATGAAAACAATTAAAAAAAAAAAAAATATTTCTTTTTTTTATGTTTGTTTATTACTTAAAATAATTTCAAGAATTATTCTTGTTTTATTTTTTTCTATATAATTTAGATATATATATTTTTTTTTATTATTAAACATTTTTTATTTAGTTCTAAAATTGTATTTATGCCTGAATAATTCTTGTATTTATTTTGCCTCTTGCTTTGTGTCAGTGTTCATGGATTCAACTTTTGGGCTGTTAGCTTTTATATTTGTAGACATTTGTTGCGACAATAAATGTCGTGCGGTTAGAAAGCAATTGGAACGGACTCGGAGTCGGCTGGCAACAGAGCCTAATGCTGTGGCTTGATCATCGTACGCTTTAATTAAGCATAAATGGTGGCTAATTCGATGCGAGGGGTTGGCACGTGTGTGCGCGCCGTGTTGGCGCTTGGCGAGGCCACATCGCAACACACAGCAGCGAGCCAATATGCCCGCAGACCCCAGTGCCTCAGACCTCCAGACGTGACAACAACAATGGATAGTTAAATGTTCATTGACGTAGCGTAGTCGACTGCAGGCAAAAGTGCTCGAGGGGGCGCGAGACTTGCATGTGACGAGGGCGAACAGAACCGGAATATGGCGTTGCAGGAAGTAAGCACAGCTAGGCGAGCCCAACGTCGGCAATGTGGAGGTGAATAGCAACAACAACGACAACAACAACAACAACTTGTATCGACAACAATGCAATCTAAATATTTCCGTATTAAATTGTAACTCTTACGTTGTCAGCGTTGCCTCGATTCGAATCGTATCGTAACGCTATGCACATGCTTCAAACACGCATTGAATAGGGCTTATGTGTGTGTGTGTGTGTGTGAGTGGAGGGCAACGCCTGATGCAACAGGGTGGCAGTCACGGGGCGTCGAACAGAGTCTGGGTCAACCCAAAGTGAATTTTCCTTGAATGCGCTGGAATAACAGCAGTTGTTCTGTTATGGGATTATGTAGCTGAAGCACATCTATTGTGTTGTCAATTCATATTTCCTCTTATATATTCACTATAACGTGCATAACAATTGGATTGTGCAAGTGAAGAAAACTATGGTTATATATAGGTAAACAGCTGTAATTGGAATTTATAATACATATAAAAGCAGGCAATAATAATTGATATTTATATAAATTATAGCTGAAAAATGTAAACATAATAAGTACTGTGTCAATATTTTCTCTATTATTCATCGTATTATTTACCATTATTAGTGTGTATATCATCATTATTATATAGTTTCACATTTCAGAATCGCAACCGGAAAGTCAGTGATTGAGTCTCATAAGCAACTCATTTCCTTTGTTCACCTTAAATAGTTTCTATAGTGATTTTCAAGCTCATTATGTGATGATGGTATACTTATACAAGTATATAGTTAAGTTATAGTTGAGCTTTTGCCTTTGATTGAGTCATACGCATTGTTATTATAATAAGAACTAAAGTTACATTATCGAAATAATAGCATTCATTATAGGATATATTATATATACAATAATATATATGTACTTAAAGATTGAGTCCAAATATAGTTAATAATTAACTTCAACTTTGGCTTTTGATGTCAATTCAATATTATTACATATTCTACTATTTTTATACCAAGAACTGAAGTTAATCACTGAATATAATCGCATATAAGAATAGATTTTTATTTATACAAATATAGTTAATAATTAACTTCAATTTGACCTTTCCATATTGATTCATTATTGTTCCATATTGTACTATATTTATAATAATGAAAGTAATTACATTCATAATATATTCTCCTGTTACCTATCCGCTTTCGATTGTAATTTTAGCATTCATGTATATATATTTAGCACTTGCAGTGCGTCATCTGCCAGCACACAGACATTCAGACATTCTTCGTTTTAGCCATTGTGCTGCCCCCCGCGCAGAGCGACACGCCCTTGGGCCATTGTTCGCTCTCACGTTTCAGAGCACTGGGGCAGCGTATCAGAAACTGCTTTATTTGCGAAAAGCAAACGAAACGCCGAATGCGGTCAGATAGACTCGATTCCAGTCTACCATCAAGCACTGGCCCTGGTGCGAATGGGAAATGTGCAGTGCCATGTGCTCGAACCACTCGGCACTCGGCAGTTGTCGCCTGACCCTGACCATAGACACAGTCGCGGAAACACAAATTGGAATATGATTTGTTCTGAGTGTGTGGAAGGGGAGGGGACGGGGAAGGCGTATGGGGGCATACGCTGTTGTATGTCGCTCATGTACTGGCATGTCTCACTCGCTTGCTCGTAATTGCAGCCGGAGTCGAGTGTGCGTCGCCCATGATTTGAGCAGTCGGCGACGAGCTCGCCAGATTGATGCGAGGCGCGTCACTATCGCTGATGTCGTTGTTGATTGCTGGCCCTGGCTCTGGTCACGTTTCTTGACACACACAACGAACACACTAATCGTAAACAAACAAACACACACACATGAACACATACTCATAGACAGTTGACAATGGATGAATTGGCTGATGGGCAAAAAGTAAAATTCTTCAAATAAAATGTTAGAAAAAATTTCAACACAAATATAAGTGTATTAAAATTAAAATATATAAATATATATATATTATAACAAAATATATCAAATAAAAAAAAAAAATATATATCTCTATTTAAAAATCATTTATATTAAAATTGTAATTATTAATAAATAATATATATATATATATATATATATATTTGACTTTTATTTACTTTTGTGGAATATATTTATAGAATTTTATTAATTTTTCTTTACTTAACAACTCGATGTAAAGCTTCGACTGAGGCGAATTCTGAATTGCTTTTCGTTTTTGCAAACTCATGTTGATAAGAATTATTTTGAGAATTTAACATGGCATGGCGTGATTTTTCAAGAATCAGGTCTTACGATAAAAATTGTATATTTATGTATTGTTTACATGCTATGCGGTGCGACAAAGCATAACAAATCGAAAATGATTTTTCGTTATTTATATAAAAACTAAATAAAATATTCAGCTACTGCAGTTACAATTGCATACTTACTGGGTTGGCGGGTGCTTGTCTTGGGAATATATTGCATATATTGTAAGAGTGTGCGTGAGTGGCACGTGATTTATTGCGCATCTGTGCACCTTGAGTTGCTTGAACTTTGACATAGCCCTAACGTGTTCCTTTGTTTTTCCTTGCAGCTGTCAAGAGTTCGACGAACTCAATAAATCGTGCACAACGCCGACGTGGGGTCGCATTGCTGCCAACGGGCGCCAAAAGTGTGGCATCGTCTTCGAGTGCTGCTGGAATTGAACTGGAAAGTGAGAGGACATCAAAGCAGGCCGAGCATGTGGAGCGCATGGAGGTGGATGGGATTTATAATAAGACGAGCACGTATTCAGCGCACACACATTCCAGCAGCGCCTACAACAACAATATCAAAACAGTATTACAACCAACAATGGCCAACAGCAACAGCAACAACAGCAACAGCAGCAACAGCAACTGCAGTGGAATCAGCAAGGCATCAACAGCCAAACACTGTGATCATGCTTCGGGCATGGGTGAGGATAAGGAGGACGACGATGAGGACGGCGACGGGGATGACGAGGAGGAGGATCAGGGCGATGGCGACAGCGGCTATGAGTTTGCCCTGGACCCCATCAAGCCCCCGAATCCACAGCAACAGTATCACACACACAACCAGGGCCTGCTGTCCATAGCCATCAAGACGATAAAGCTGGTGCAGCGCAACAAGTTGCTGCAGAAGCGCTTGGCTCAGCTGCAGCTGGAGACCTCCGAGTTCATTGCCTCGGTGCTGGCCAATCCCGAGAATCGGCACTTTCGTGAGAAAATCACGGCCAAAACAGACGCGGCCAACAAAGTGAGCAACGTTTTGCTGCGTCACTAAGCGACAAATAATACAAATGAAAAAAATGCTGCATACTTTTGGGCGGCAGCAAAAATGCCGCATTCCGATATGTCACAGCAATCAAACGAGGAAGCATATGAAAAAAGAAATACATTGGATTGATAATTTAAAATATATAAATAGATTTCCATTTGATGTTTTTTTTTTTTTTGTATTCATTGTTTATCGAATTCGAAATTGATTGCTGCGACACAAGGAACTGAGCTGAGTTTCGAGCAATTTGTACTGATTACATTTATAAATTAACAAAATGTAAGTTAAATATTTGAATAAACACAAATAAATGAGAAGAAGAAGAAACAATACATAAACATATACATGAGAAATATTTATAAAAGAAATGAAAAGTCAAGAATGAAACTAATTTTATGTAGTCCCTAAGTACGTTTATGTTCAATATTTTTGTACATCCTAAAAATTTATTTATATGAAAATCATACTTGACGATAATCTACTAGAACTTACTACTTAGGTTTCTAAAGAACAAACCCAACCGGCATAATCATTTTGAAGCTTAAATGCTTTTGGCTATAAATGGCAAATACTTGCATTAACATATACAATTTCAATGCAAAGCAATTGGTTTTTTGAAACTTAGCTTAGCAAATCACTATACGTAACTAAATGATCGTCAGAAGAAAAAAACTATATATATGAATAAATATCATTGATTCAAATCGTTGAGAACTACATTCATACCCCATATGTATTTTGATTGAAATTGAAAACATTTATCAACTGCATTTTCTACTTACCTAAATGTTATGATTATTATATTAGACTAGCATGTAGAGAACCAACGCGAATCGCGAAACAAATTTCTAATAAAATTCATTTTATTGAAACGCAAACATTTTACAACACACAACACATTGACTTATTTATTGTTTTGCTTGCTTGAAGCCAACAAATTCAGCTTCAACTTGAACAACAAAAGGTTTCAATCATCGAGAGACCCACACTCGGCGGTCGTGTCAATAACACCAATCATCGCGTTCAAAGACCGTCTCAATATATTTCTGATGTTGCGGCTGTCAACTCAATCATAAAAATTATGATTATTGGGCTGTTCCCAGAAACGTGCGGCGCACTCCGAATTTGAGATTGCCAGGCAAATCTCCATGCAAAAATACGCAAAGAAAAAGATGATTTAGCTGGCAATAAGAAAAGTTTTGCCTAAAAACGTAATTAGAGTTTGACTAAAGTGTATTTGCTTTTGTGACAGATTTATGCAGTCCATATATTTAGTTTGGCTCATAACTGGAACAGGTTGTTTATGTCTAGTGTGGAAATAAAATACATATAATTATATGTACTAAATGAGCTAAGCATATTTTAGATTTCTTCAATTAAAATTGCGAGTTTAGTCAATTTTTGCTTTGCCTGGCAGCTTATAGAATAGATTTTATATGTATTTTTTGTATTTTTTTTTTCTGGAACGCCCTCAACGTGTTGCGTGTGACACCCACACACACATCTCACACAGCTTGTTGGCATGCAATTTCGAATCACACTTCAGTTGTTTCAAGTTCATTCAATTAAGCCGCAAGAGACGAGTATCTGTCTGGGTCACAGTGTTTCGAGTGGCATTCAGCTCGCTTTTCGGCTCTGCGATTATTGTGAGAGTGTGGCTCCGCTGGCCACAGCGCTTATGGGCTCTTATTTATTTTTGGCTCAGGCGGCATTTGTCAGATTTGTAATCATCAAGATATAGATATATTTACGCCTGGTAATCATCATACAAAACTTTCAGACATTTGCTTTTGTTTTTATACCCTGAACCCATTGAAAATGGGAAATCAGGGTATAATGGTTTTGTTAAAATGTATGTAACAGG